AGTCAAGTGTCTTTGCATGAGTCAAGCTTAAATACATTTAGGATATCTAGATAAAAATTATTATCTCTTTCTATATCTATCTATCTATCATCTATCATCTAATTTTCTATTAACTTATCTATCTCTAGAGAGAGGAAGACAGATAAACCAACAAATAAGCCTCATTGAATCCACTCCAAGTTATCTTCAGCTTATGTCCAACAGCCAAAGCATTTCCAGGTCTCACGTCATCTTGACAATTGCTGGCCCATTTTCATTCTTCCTCATAGCTCTGGTGCCCAGTGTCCATTCGTCTCACTGAGGATCTTCCTCTCCTCACTGGCCCTCTGCTTGACCATGTATGATATCGTCCTCAAACAATTGGTTCCTCTTGATGATGCGTCCAGAGTAAGCAAATCAACCAACATTCTGTTGTGAGACACGTGGGTTTACACTGGCTGGTTTGACAGGCCTTTCTCCCTAGTCTGGAGGCCTCACTAAAACCTGCCTACCGTGGGTGATTACGCTGCAGATCTTCAACGCACTGGTGACATGATTTCTAGTATTAAAGTAACACATAGGCCACCTGAGTACAGCAGACAGATGGGTGGTGGAATTGAAAATAAAATGCCAAATCAATTACTATCAGTTCCAACTCCTGGTGACACCATGTGTTGCTGGGTAGAGCTGGACTCTGTAGACTTTTCAAGGTTATGTCCTTTGAGAGGCAGATGACTAGGACTTTTTTCCTAAAGTGCCTCTGACTGAGTTTGAACCTCGATCTTTTCACTGATAGTCAAGCATAGAGCTCGTTTATACCAACCAGACACTGCTGAGCTGACCATGGGGTGGTTGAAATTACAGACTGTTAAAATGAGAAGAGATCATACAACATCCACTTCCTAAACGACATGCCTCTGGAAATGTGTAAACTTTGATAAATGTCAATAGTTATAGAAAGGCCTTAGGCCTTTTGTTCATAGGGTCGCTGTGAGTCGTGCTCGACTCAACAGCAATAGACAACTACATGCAATCTAGACACTTCTCATAGCAGGTGAAGAAACTGAAGCCTTCACGAGAAAGCCTAGCTCTGACTTTTCTGCCACATCCTCATCTTCCAACAGGGTTTCAGTGCAGTGTTGCTGCTGTCATTGACCAATTTCCTGGACCTTCAAGGCCTCAACTCCTGCATCTAAACTTACAGCATTTCAATCTCTTAGTCAGAGCTTGACGTGCAAGCCACGTTTTCCAGGATTAAGCCAGACCTCAGTCCTTAAGACAGTATAATCTCCTAGCTGCATACTCTGCAGCAGCTGATGGCTTTAAATAACCTTGCTCAGAAATTCTAGGAAAAAGGCTTGTCATTTGGCCATCAGATTGAAGGTGCAAGACTCTGAAGACCCATTTGGTGAAGAACCCAGGAAGCCTCAAATGAATGGCAATGAACCAATACCAACTACTCTATCACATGTACAACTCTACTTTTATGAGTCTCAACAGAGATACTGAATCAGTAGTACAAGGAAATGTTAATCTGACTGAAATGTACAAATTATCTTTCTACCAGAGGAAGACATATATATATATATATAGAGAGAGAGAGAGAGAGAGAGAGAGACAGAGATAGAGATTTTTTTTAGACAGTAAAGAAGTGATTAACAAGAAAAGTTCTGGGATGGGTCAGAGACCTTTTGAAGTTGACCTTGATCAAACAGAGCTGTGGTTAACCAAAGGGGGTGGAATATCAGTTTGTTCTGAATTTAGACATTATTGAAAAAGTGAGCTTCCTTATTGCTTTCTGTCTCATGGCGATTTTTCCTCTGCTTTAGTATAAATGCTAGTGTGATCTTTCAGGCTCTGACACCCAGTCAGAGTGTAACTCTCTAAGGAATTCTGTACCACTAGAATGGAGAGCATAGGGTTTGTTCATTCATTCAACAAAACTTACTTAATAGTGCTCATCAAACACCTAGCATGTGAATCATTCCATTCTAGGTGCTAGAGAAACAGTAATGAGTCAAAATAGACTCATAACTGACCCTCAAGCGGGTTTCCAGAGGCTGTAAATTGCATGGGAGGAGAGTGTCCATCTCTCTATCTCTCTCAGAGCTGCTGGTGGATTTGAACCGCCAGAGAGGCATGGCCTTTAGATTAGCAGGGCAACCACCTTCCTGTAGAGCCACCAGAGATTTCTGTACAATGTAGTAAAAGGTGGTAAAGGGTTTTGGGTTTTTTGGGGGGTGGGGGATTTATTCATACTGAGAATATTAGTTGGAGGGTGGGAGTGACTTGTGAGGATTTGGATTTTGAATATGGCAGGAAGGGAAGACCTCCGTGAGAAAGTGACATTTGACATACACACACACACACACACACACACACACACACACACACACAAACAAAAGTGTGGGGGTGGGGAGGAATTTGGAGAGTAAGCTTCTTGCAGGAAGAGACCAGGCAGAAAGAAGAGTTGTGAGTAAGCCTTGCAGCACAACTCCAGTGTGGCATGACTCAAACGCAGCAAGAAGGCCAGAGTGACAGAAGGAAAATAAGCAGAGGAAAGAGTGGTAGAAAACAAGGTCCAGGAAGTAAGAGGATGGGAATCCTGCAGGTCTTCAGGGAGAGGGTTGAGGAAGTGAGGAAGGATCTAGAAACAAAGGGATTGGACAACACATAGAGCACACTGAACGGCTCGGGAGTAACAAGACTTTGTGTTGTATGAGTGAGGTTGCTTTTCAAGCCATTTTATTAGCCCCATTGGAAGGCATGATCTCCAGCTACCCTAACTGTGGACACATAGTCCTGCAAATCATCAACAGCTGTGGGACCAATATAAGAGAATGCTTTCCACACTGTGAGAAATGGTGGTGGAGAGATGGTAAAGATACTGTGACAGATTGTAGCAGGTGGTGAAAAGACTGTGGCACTGCTGTGAAGAGATTGCTGCAAGACCTAACTAGAGGAACTCTGGAGATAAAGGCCATAGTTAAAGGTTTTGCTTGCTGGATGAGTGAAGGAAAAGCTGATCTATAACTGCTCTGTGAGAAAGTTTTCTGGAAGATTGAAGAAATCAGAGGCTTCTTACATTGGTGCTGTTGAACTGAACCTGAGCTGTCACTAATTGAGGAATTGTGCCTTGTTAATCCAGCTTGAGGTGATTAGGCTAAACCTGCTCTTGTACTGGTGATATTGTTTGCCACCCCACTCTCCACCCTATTTCCCTAATAAACCTCACAATGGTGAGTAAAGTCTGTGAGTCAATTTGCAACAAACATTGAACCAAATGATTGGTAGAAAAGGTGCAAGAGCATGTGGGATGGCATGCCTGACCATGGAGTTACTTGCATTATTCTATGGATATTATTGATGGGGACACTTCTCCTTTATGAAGTGGGTAGCAGTCAGAGTTGCTCATCCTAACTTTGGTTCAGATCCTTTTGCAATGGCAAGATTTTTTTATTGTGCAACCTTTTTTTCAGGTTTCACAAACCTGTTTTATTGGGTTCCCCCATTTATTTATTTATCTATGTATTTATGTATGCATGTATTTATTTATTTAATATTGGTACAAAGAGCTGCTGCATCAGTCTGGAGACTAAGGTGTGCCTGATCCAGGCCATGGTCTTTGTAATTGCTTTCTATGTGTCAGAGAGCTGGACAATGATTAGGGATACTAGAAAGAGAATTGATACCTTTGAGCTGTGGAGCTGGAGAAGAGTATTGAATGTACTGTGGACTGCTAGGAGAACAAACAGGTTCATCCTAGAGAGGGTGAGACCAGTATGCTCCTTGGAGGCAAGGATTCTGAAGCTTCGTCTGACATACTTTGGGTATATTGCAAGGAGGGACCGATCCTTGGTGAGGGACGTCATGCTTGGAAGGGTGGAGAGATGGAGAAAGAGAGGGAGACCATTGATGAGATGGATTGATACAGTGACTGGGTAATGAGGGTAGGTGGGTCGGAGCCAGTAAAGGTTTCAGGGCTGTTGTACATAGGATCGTTATGAGTTGCAAGCAACTCAATGCCACATAAAAACACAACAACAACGTGCTGGTTTACATTCAAAGTCCATGAAGTTTATACACATTGTTATTCATAGGGTCACACAATCTGACGGGTGGAGGGAGAGGTGGATGAAGTGTAAGGGAACGGTCTGGTGTGAAAAACAATGTATTGTGCAACCTTTCTTTCAAATTGTGTTTATTCTTGCCAATCATCTTCAGGTTATGCCATAAACTCTCTTTCACTGTGCAAATTTCCATTTTATAAGTAACAGCAAGAAGGAACTGGTTGACTAAGGGTCCTGCCCTTGATGGACGGCACATGAAAATGTATGAGTTAGGCTTTGAGTCTGGCCAACTTCCCCAAAGGCCACCTCTCTCATTTCACTTCCTGATGCTGCCACTCCTGAAACCAAATACCCACAACCTAGCTATGTGTCTGAGACCTGTTACATCTCCTCTCTGGACCTAATTTGCAAAACATGCTTGGCCTAGAACATGCCTCAGTTCAATAATCTGTGCTCCTAATCAAACCACCAATACCTATTAAACATACAGTAGAACTTGCCATAACCAAAACCTATGTAAGCCAGAAACTTGTCAGAGAAGGCAAACTCAAATATTTCCTACTAATGGAGAATGATAGGTAAATGGTAAGACTGCACCCTGTCCATGGCGGACAACTTTCAAGCCCAAGAGAAGCCAGCCAGCCCTGGTGGATTTGAACCGTGTGCCTTCAGGATTACAGCACAACTTCTTACCACTAAATCAGCAGAGCAAGAAAACCCTGTGACATTGTTTTATTCTCTTACTTGGACTGCTGTGAGTTGGAAATGACGTGATAGAATTTAGCAACAACAACAAGGTGAATTCTGATTTTCCACTCTCATTTTCTCATATTGTTGGGTAATTTAAAATAACATCATGCTGATCTCTCTCCTTCCCTCCCATTCCCCTCCCTCCATCCCCTCTCTTTCTTCCTTCCCTCCCTCAGTGCATGCAATGATAGTTTTTCCTACCAAAGCTCCATTCCAGATGGGACAAGCAATTCGAACACTCCATCCTGTGAACCAAATCTTGTGAGAAAACACAGGGAAGAAAGCGATGAGTCCAGAGAATGTGCTGAGACAGCCTAGCGTAACCAGCGTCCGGCCAGCAGCCTGGTACAGGCTCTTCATTTTCCTCTGTCACTTGAGTTCTTCGTGTCGAAGACGCTGTGTTACTGAAGAGTGAGGCTGTCATGGCCTCCACAAACAGAGGTGTCGTAGAGATGGTAGCCAGGTTACTGTTGACCTACTTGGAAACCAGATCCCATTAGTTTCCTCAAAGGTAATAAAATGTAATCAACTAATCCCTGCCATAAATTTGACACAATAAAATGTAATGCTAGTTTATTTCTGAGAGAGAAAGAGAACATTCCTTCCTTCCTTTGGAGGTCGGGCTTTCATGCCCTTTATCTGCTCGTTCTGGGGAGTGACCACTTCCTGGCTTAATCAGATTCAAAAGGCTGCTGACTGAGTTGATTGTTTCTCAGCTCGACCTGCCTGGTGGTTCCAGCAGAAAGCCAACAAACATCCTTTGTGCACAATGGACGCACATTCCCAGCACAGTTTCCCACACGACAAAGTGAAAATAAGCACTCCAATTATTTTTAATTTCATTCAAATGATTTAAAGCAAAATGCAGCCCAACTCAGGGATGCTCCTAAGTTTAATCCTACTCTATTTTTAGTAAGGATTTTTTTGTATAACTCTGCCCTAAATAGACAGAAGCTCTGTTACGGAGGTCTTAATTTCTTTTTCTTAACTAAACAGGCTTGACTTTAGTTATTTTATTGTTGATTAAGAATATTCAGTAAAATGCAATGATAAAAAGATACGCAGTTGTGAAAGAAAAGAAACTTTGAGGAATCATTTATTGGCTGGTAAAGTATTTTGCATAGGTTCATTCTTGAATCATAATTGTAGTTTGAGTTGTTGGGTCTTCTGTGCATTTTAAACAATTGCAACAACTCATCTCTTCATTTCTTATGCCTTAGAGAAAGTGGAGTATTTGCTTTTGACCAATAGGATATATTTCAATGTCCTTTTATAAGATGGATATTATCTTAAAAACACAGAGTGATCTTTGAAGAAACTTCATAATTGGGAAGGTCTGCTGTCAGGGACCTCTCCAAATATTGAAGAGCAATGGTGTCTTCTCTCTAGAGACTAAGATGCGTCTGATATAGGCCATGGTCTTTTCAATCACTGGTTATGCACCAGAGAGTTGGACAATGACCAAGGAGGATAGAAGGAGAATTGATGCCTTTGAGCTGTGGTGTTGGAGAAGAGTGTTGAATGTACTATGGACTGCTAAGAAAATGAACAGGTCATCCTAGAGAGGGTTAAACTAGGCTACTTCTTGGAGGCAAGGATTCTGAAGCTTCTTCTGACATACTTTAGACCAGTCCTTGGAGAGGGACATCATGCTTGGAAGGGTGGAGGGACAGCTCAGGAGGGGAAGATCCTCTATGAGGTGGATTAATTGAGTGACTGGGGTAATCAGGGTGGGTGTGTCAGAAATAGTGAGATTGGCACAGGACAGAGCAGTATGAGTCACAAGTGACTCAATGACACACAACAACAACAACAACCACAACAACAATATTGTTATGTGCTGTTGAGTTGGAACCAACTCACAGCTGACCCACCGGCAGCTTTTAGACATAAACTGAACGGAAGGAGATTGCCCATCTTTCTCCTGTAGAGCAGCTGATGGATTCGAACCACCTGCCTTTGAGTTGGCAAATGCTTGTCACTCGACCACCAACGCTCCCCTATTGAATTTTAATACTTTTCTTTAAAGAAAATACTGAGAAACAAATTTCTGTAAGGAAGTATAGTGGTTAAGAAACAGCTGGTAGAATTAGATAGAGTAAGATTTCAGTCTGATTACACTATCTCCCAGGGCTGTGTCCCTGGGGGCTAGGACAAGTTACTTCACTTTTCTAGGTCTGTTTCTTCATTGGAAAAATGAGAGTGGAATGAGTGTTTATCTCTCCAGGAGGCTGGCTGAGAGGATTGAACCAGTCAATTCATGCACGTACATCACTGAGTTTGACGCAGCAAAGATGCACAATAATTTGCCCATTACAGGAGGACATTCTCACTTCTCTGCAGCTGGGAGGTTGGGGGGTTTTGTTTGTTTTGGTTTCGGTGTGTTTTTTTTTGGTTTTTTTTTTTAAGTCTATAATCTCATATTGGAAGCAGGAATGGCATTAACTTCCTAAATAACACGCCTCCAGAAATTCTATGAACTTTGATAAATGTTGACAGTTGCAGAGGGGCTTCACGCGGTTCATAGGGTCGTTATGAGTAGTGCTTGACTTGAAGGCAATCAACAACAACAACAGTCTTATAAATATATTATTGTTATGTGCCTTCAAGTCACTTGAGACTCATAGCAACCCTATGTATAACAGCCTTAAACCCTGCTTTATCTTTTGCCAACCTTATTGCCTCTAATACATCTATCCCCATTACCCCAGTGATAGAATCAATACATCTCACCAAGGGTCTTCCTCTCCTGCCTTGTCCCTCCACCCTCCCAAGCATGATGTCCCTCTCCAAAGACTGATCCCGCCTTGCAACATGTAC